TGTTCATTAGTAATAACCTGGATCTGTTTCTGTTCCAATTTCGTGATTCTATCTTTAAGCTCAGTATTTTCTTCTGCAGTCTGTTCCAATTTGGCGATCCTGGCTTTGAGCTCAACATTCTCAGCTTCGCGTTTGGTGCTCTCTTCCATAACCTTTATCAGTTTAGCATTCTTTGCCTCAAGCTCAGTCTTTTCAGCTTCAAGCTCAGAAATTCGTTGCCTTAATGAATCAATCACGGATTGCATGTTTTAATAATAGATTATTATTTATTTAAAATGTAACTAAAGCAACAAAAATTTCGGCGACGGCCCGTCGTCAAAAATTCCAAAAAAAATAATTGCAAAGCACGACCACGAAATTTGCACAATTAAATATTTCTTAATCTCAAATTGATCTAGTAATATTTAAAATTTTTATTGATTTATAATAAAAATGGTACTTTTTTCATGAAATCAGAGCGGAAACAATCACTTTTCCATTGTTAAAATTTATGCAAATTGTTAATTGTAATGTAATATGATATCTAATAAAAACCTTCATTAATCAGGCCGAACGAAAGAGCTATCTGGTTCACTTTTTGGATAGGTGGTTATGATACCTTTTTTGTGCTCATTTTTTTGGGGGGTAAATGGGTGGGGCGGAAGAATACCCGATGAAAGATTGGATGCATTTAAACCAGAGTCATTATGTTCTTTGAGCAGTTTATTAATGACATTTGTTACTTCCAACAACCAGCACTAATAATGAAATAAAAAATAAGTTGATAATATAATATGAAAAAAGATTAAATTCATCAAAAAAAAAAACATTACCCTAAGGTCCCATAGGACAACTACGAAATCAAAAAGACATTTTCGTTCCTCTTCGAAACAAATGGGAATGGTCGCCCTATGTGTCCTTTCATACTGTAGTACGCCGCGTGATGCTACATGCATCCTCCATAGTTCGATCCGCTTATCTATGAATGCAAGAGATAAGCAACAAAGCTATAAAAAACTTCGAGAGCACCAAATTATACCTACCATAGGTGTGTAAAGAAAACACACTTAATTTCGAATATGTCTCATATGACGCGCCGCGAAATCGTTCACCAATTTCTTCTAACATATAAGCATTACCAATCGGTAGCTTACAACAACCATCCCACGTGGACCGAGGGAAATCCTTAAGACCATATCCACCGCTCATCTCAAGATGACCAATTTCAATGAATGATTTTTTCAGTCGCGCTAAGAAAACTCCATCTGCTTTCTGTTCGAACAAAGTATTGCATTTTCTTCTTTCGCGACATGATTTAACCGAAGCCAATGTTACCTCTCCTCTTATAAACAAGCCATCAAGCGTAAGTAATTGTCGTCAAAATTATCGTGAATAATGAAATAAGATTATTCACTTACATATGATAATGCAAAAATTTTTCTAATCCAAAAAGCGCACACTCTAAAAAAGGATGAATCATATAACCTCCGTAATCCGATTCTGGTACAACTGGCTGCTGAATTATTGAATCATCAGGAAAAACATTCCGGCGACTTTATGTAAAGAAAAATATTTTTTATTAGATAGTAAATTGGTATCAATAATAGCAAATGATACATACAATATTGATAAGATTTCAAGGAAAAAATTTTCGAAAGGATTGAGGGGAAACGCTATATCGGTTATCTTTAGTCCTTCTAAGACACGCGTTTGAAATTCATCCTTGATAATATGATTATAATTATTTAAAAGCTTAAGTTCTTCTACAGTTTCACCTAACATTTCGTGTGATTCCTATTGAAAAGTGTAATTTTAGAACTCTTCAAGAATATAGAATAAAGAATTAATGTAACGGAAAAACATACAAATTTCAAAAGCTTATCTACAAGCTTTGAACATTTAGAAACAGTTGCTCTTTTTATATATCTTTGTATTTCCGCATACTCGTCAACAGTGCACCATTCTGGTTTTGCTATTTTAAAGCCACAGCGGACGATCCCCCAGACTTCAGGTCTTTTTAAAAAAAAAATTAGTATCAGCATATATTAATAATTAACAATTATCTATGATTACCTGAGGAGATGTCCTTTTTTTTCGCAGATTTTGCTAAAAGATCAGTAACAAGTTTTCCAGAAGCGAGCCTCCATTGTTCCCAAATACTTTCATTAAATTGGTGCTCGGAAACTGGTATTGTTGGATCTTCTTCTGTTTCCGCGAATGACAGTTCCGGATCTATCTGCGTTCCTTCTTCATAACTTCCAAGTCCAAGATCGTAATTCGCACTCTAGAAAAAATAATTAGATTAACTTTTGGCAGAAATAATTGAAAAATTTTTCGTCTCTAACCTCAATCGAATTAAATGAAAAATCTAAGCTTATTGATGCGTTATCGCTTAATCTTGTCTGGAAAAATTGCACAAATATTGTTAATAAATTATTTGATCTCAAAAAAAATTTGTAAATCTCATAATCTCACCCGTTTAGTTGGCGTAATTT